GTGGTGAGAAAAGAACTTTTTTTTTTTTTTTTTTTGAGAAAAGAGCTCTTATACATTGTTGGTGGGATTGTAAAATGGTACAACCATTCTGGAAGACAGTTTGGAGCTTCCTCAAAAAGCTGAACATGGCGGTCGCCCGCCGCAGCCGCCCTTCCCCCACCTCAGCAGCGAGTGGGCGACAGGACCCCTGTCCACTCTGGGCTTTGCTGGCCCTCGCGGTGACCCGACGTGGCCCTGAGCCGGGAGTGGAGGCTGCGCACCTCCAGCTCTGCCATCATAAGTCTCTGCTTTTGCATAAAAGCTTGTAGGAGATGAATAAATATCAGGGGTCGGTATCCTTCACGGATGTGACTGTGGACTTCACTCAGCAAGAATGGGAACAGCTGGACCCCTCTCAGCGGATCCTGTATTTGGATGTGATGCTGGAGAACTACAGCAACCTGCTTTCAGTGGAAGTGTGGAAGGCGGATGGCCCGGTGGACAGGGAGCCAGGAATCCCCGACAGGCAGACCAGGCAGTATCTAACCCTTAAAAACCAAACCCCGCTGGAGGACAGAGGTAATGTCTTTGAAAAGGCCTTGAACCTGGGCACAGACTTTGTTTCTCTAAGACAAGTCCCCTATAAATACGACTTCTATGAGAAAACACTGCAGTGCAGTGCAGACTTACTGAGCAGTAACGGCAGCTATGCGGCCAAGAAAGCAGAGGAGTGCAGTGGACTTGGGAGAGCGCTCCTGTACCTGAAGCAGGAGATAGCCCGGCCCGGCCTGCACTACCCGGAGTACAGTAAGGGCGGGAAGGCCCTCAGCCCCAAAGAAGCCGTTTTTAAGCATCAGAAAATGAAAAGCCTGGTTCAGCCTTTCATTTGTAATTACTGTGATAAGACCTTCTCCTTTAAATCCCTCCTCGTCCGTCACAAGAGAATCCACACCGGGGAGAAGCCCTAGGACTGCGACGTCTGCAAGAAAACCTTCTCCCACAAGGCGAACCTCATCAAGCACCAGCGCATCCACACCGGGGAGAAGCCCTTCGAGTGCCCCGAGTGCGGCAAAGCGTTCACGCACCAGTCCAACCTCATCGTGCACCAGCGGGCGCACATGGAGAAGAAGCCCTACGGCTGCGGCGACTGCGGCAAGACCTTCGCCCAGAAGTTCGAGCTCACCACCCACCAGAGGATCCACACCGGCGAGCGGCCCTACCAGTGCACCGAGTGCGGCAAGACCTTCTTCAAGAAGTCCAACCTCATCATCCACCAGAAGATCCACACGGGCGAGAAGCGCTACGAGTGCGGCAAGTGCGGCAAATCCTTCATCCAGAACTCGCAGCTCATCATCCACACGAGGACTCACACGGGCGAGAAGCCCTATGAGTGCCCCGAGTGTGGCAAGACGTTCAGCCAGAGGTCTACCCTCAGGCTGCACCTGCGCATCCACACGGGCGAGAAGCCCTACGAGTGCCCCGAGTGTGGGAAGGCCTTCAGCCGGAAGTCCCGCCTCAGCGTCCACCAGCGGGTGCACACGGGGGACAGACCCTGAGACCGCAGCCCCTTTGCAGAGGGGACCCTGCCTGGACAGTGCTGCAATGTGGAAGAAACCGTGGAGAGGAACATGGGAAGTCATGCTGAGATGCAGGTGGTCATCTCAGAAACACGTACAAAGGGGGATCCCACAAGGCTGGTGTCACACAGGATTGGCGGTGATGCACAGGTGAAGAGTGCATCCGGACAGAGTCGATTGTACAGACACCCTCGGCGGTGGAGCTGAGTGCTGAAAGCGTGAAGGACCCCCCCCCCCCCAGGCAGCAGTACCGAGGAGGTACCGGCCGCCCACGTGTTTATGGTGAAGTGATGCCACAAACACAGCTTGTGTGTTGCAGGCTGTGCGTGTCAGTGTAACACAGTCACTGGGCGTTTGAATTCCTTGTCCTGTACGATAATTAGGGATCTCTGGTGGCCTCGTGTTAAGCTGTGCTGTAATTCCAAACATGCATTTCAAATCCACCAGATGTTCCACGGGAGAAGGATGGGTAGTCTCCTTCCGTGTGATTTACTGCTTCTAAAAACCCGCTGGAGGGCCTATGGGTCGGTTCCGACTCGACGGCATACAACAGTAATATGGTAATTCGGATACACTGAACTGAGTTTTCTTTCAAAACTTCAGCGGGTTTTCAGTACCTTTACAACCCAGGATGTTTTCTAGATGACCTACAGGATGAGTGTAACATGCCTCGTTCCTCCTGCAAGCCTGTACCTGAGTGGCCTCTTTGATGGTGCTGGAGCTTTAACCCATTTCTAGGGGTTTGCTAGACTTCCTAGAAGAACTATTTGCATAAATAAGCAAGTAGGAGACAAGTTAGAGGAGATGTAGAGGGTGAAAGGAGACAGCGGAGAGACTGCCCCTGCGGGCCTTTGCTGTTCACAGTGGGCTGTCTCCCTCCAGGTACATGCGTGTCCCACGTTATGGGGCCCAGGAACCGCTGCCTTTTACTTGACCTTTGCCTTGTTTCTTAAGAATTGTTTTGCAGAACTTTTCAGGTGCTTCTGTGGTTCACAAAAGTCAGCTACATCGCAGAGGCTTGAGGGGGATAGTTGACTTCATTTTGCATGATCCTCAAGCAGTATCTGTTCTGTTGCTGCTTTAAATTCTCACTTCAGCAGTGAAGTTGTTGAGTGTTCTGTTGTGTGAAAGGCATATCCATTTCCTTGAATTTCGTTTCCCTTTGGGACCTGAGTTAGGCTGTCAGAACTTCACCAAACCAGAGCAAATAATAATAAAATTAATCACCTTATTCTTTATTTATATACTTATGTCTGGGACTCAAAGATACGCCGTTTTAGGCGTGGTTGCAGAATCGCAGCTCCAGACTTTTCCAATCAGTCGGAATCAAGTGTTAGAAGTGAAAATGGCGGCCGACAGACAGGCAGACAGGCTCGCTCTTTCTCGTTATTTTAAGGGTGTGGTTTGACTGTGCAGATAGCCTCTTGCTTGCAAATGATATTCTTCGCAGCTGTGTCATTAAGAATTTGTGCATAACTCGGACCAAGTACAAGTCTTCCTGAGCGTCAGGGTTAGGAAAACGTTTTCGGTCGGTGGAGCGTGTTACTTGGTGGTGGTTTGAACCCACCAACTGCTCCTCAAGAGAAGGATGGACAGTCTTCTCCATAAGGATGTACAGCCTCAAAATCCCAGCCCCGACGGAGGGTCGCCCTGAGCGGGGACAAGCTCAGGAGTAGTTTAGGTTCATGTAAGAAAAGGCTCGGAGACTATCAGGGATTTAAAAGCAGCACATTGAGCCGTTTAGAGTGGGGACAAGTTAGTGTAACGTCGCAAGGTTGGTAGAATTGGCGCGAGCTGCACCAGGCACTGCCTGTACGGGGATGTGAGTGACTCTCTTGAGAACGTCAGAACGTAAATGTTTGATTTTAAATTCAGTTTTCACCTTCATTTCTCAAGGCAAGGTCATGAGGCAAATAGTTCAGAGTGGTGCACCGCTGTTGAAAATGTAACTTGGGATGACTCCTTGTTAGACATCTCAGCTCTGTCTTTTAACATTCAGATCCTGCATGGTTTTTAACCCAGGAGTCTCATTTCTGGGCACTGATCCCTGATGTGCAGGTTTCTCAGAGTCCCTGTTTACGGACGTATGCCACTTGAATGGTGCTGTGGCCACACAGGCCGAAAGGTCAGAACAGCTGTGGTAGATGGTGGGGGAGGGGTCCAAAGGCTCAGAGAGCTTGGTGGGCTGCCCGACACTGCGCCCAGCCCGTGACGGCCCTAGGAGATGTGCCAGCGCCATAAGCAATGTTCTGGTCAGAGGGCACCAGTGCCCTGAGAAGTTCAGGCCAGGGCGGGTGGCAGATGCTGCCTCAGCACTGGACCTCAGAGGGTTCACACCCCAGAGTCGGCTGTCACACCCATCAGTTTTATCCTTTGTGCTCAAGTCACTGCCACACAGGGACAAAGTAAACAAGAGGGTGGTCAGCAGGCTGGTCTCAAAATTCCGATCCTTTAAGCCAGGCTGCATCTGGAACTCAGATTGGAGAGAGGCCAAGGTTCAAAATAGTGATTTCCTCAGCCCTCACCCCCTGGGGCCAGTGGCTACTTCATCAGGGGAGAGGGGACACCCAGCCCTGTCAAGGATGAGTTCTCATTTTTAAATGCTGATTACATGTTGAAATGATATTTTGGATATACTGGGTTAAATAAAATATATTCATTTCTTTTTACTTAATATGTAAGGTTACTCAATTTTAAATGACAGTCTGACTCATTGTATTTCATTTGACCACCACTGGGTTTTAACATCCTCAGACCCCTGCCGTCCTCTCCCTCCGGCTGGCGTGGAGCTGCCCCATGGCGTTTCCAAGCCTGTAGATCTTCCAGGTGCAGCCCGACTTAGCTTTCTGCTGAAGAGAGCAGCTAGTGGCTCCATCTGCTGACCAGTCAACAGCCTAGTGCTGACCCACTGCATCATCTTGCAATGCTCATATTGAGCACCAGGTGGCAACCTTACCCGGACCTGCCCCTCTTAATGGCCGGGACACCTGGTAGAGGTTAGGGCAGGAGGCAAGTCTTAGTAGGTGTTTTTGCAGCTTATTCTGCTAAGAGCTCAACTTGGCTTAGTGGTAAGGAGTTGTGCTGCCAACCTAGAGGCTTGTGGTTCTACTCCACCAGCCTCTCTCTCAGGCAGTTTCCTACCTTGTATGTTTAGAGCTCTGGAGGTGCTGCTTAGCACCAAAGGTGGTTCGAATCCACCAGCTGTCCATCTTCCAGGAGATGGACAGGCTCCTCCTCAACATACCTCACCACTGAGTCCCTGGAGGTTTGAATTCAGCAGGGGCACACACGCTTCTATTTCTAGTTTCTTCATATTTTCTAGTTTGCCCATACTGGTATGGAGGAACTTAGACCATAACTGCGCCGCCGCCCCCCCCCCCCGTATGGGACAGCCACCTCCCAACACCATGTCCTAAGAGCTGCCCAGAGATAACACACAACAGTAGCGCTCCTGTACAAATGCATTTATTGGGGGTTCTGGGGAACGGGTTTGTGTCACTGCACCCACAGCTCAGTTGGCAGCCAGGATCTCCTGGACCCAGGGCATGAGGGCGGTGACGCGGGCATACACGGCGGGTGTGGAGGTGGAGCAGACGCCGCTGCCCCAGGACACGATGCCCACCAGTGTCCAGGCACCGTCCTTCTGGCAGACCAGGGGGCCGCCGGAGTCACCCTGTGGGGAGAGAGCATGTCACACGGGGAAGTCCTGCCCCAGGACTGCAGGACACCCTGACTTGGGGTCCAGAAGGGAACGGGGGTGCAGAGAGATGACCTGCCTGGGCACAGAAGTCCAGCTCTGCATCAACTAGACCATGGTGGGGCCTGACCCCCCTCAGCCGGATCAGGTTGGGCAGCTGGGAGGAAATGCCCACTGAACCCTCATCCATGCCTGGCCCAGGGCACCCTCCCTCATTCTAGGGCAGCTGTCATTAATCTTGGCTGTTTGGGGGAGGGGTGGGGGAAGGGGACACCCAGGCCTCTAAGGAAGAGGCTCTGCCCCCAGGATTGAGGGGGCTGGACCGCGGGGTTGGGGTACCATGCAGGAGGAGACGCCGCTGGCGCCTGCGCAGACCATCACGTCGGTGATCTTGGTACCCCAGTACTTCTTGCAGTCGGCGTTGGACAGCAGGGGCAGGGTGGCCTGCTGCAGCTTCTCAGGGGTCTTGAGGGCTGAGGAGCGAGGACAGGGTCAGGGCCCATCACTCCAGTGGAGCAGTGACCGCTGCCCTCCCCCATGCTCCTCTCAGCTCCTAGGGTTCCCTGTGGACCCTGGCAGGGAAGGGGGCGTGGGGGCCACGCTCACCATTGTACTTGGTCTTGCCCCAGCCGGTGGTGGCGCAGATGGAGCCGGCGGGGAAGTCGTCCTCGGCGCTGGGCAGGCACACGGCGGACACGGTCTCGGAGAAGCGGGCGGGCGTGGCCAGCTTGAGCAGGGTGATGTCGTTGCGCACAGTGAGCATGCTGAATTTGGGGTTCTTGAACACCTGTGGGGAGGGTCCACTTAGGGTCAGGGTTGCAGGGATGACGACCACCTTCCTTGTGGCCCCTCTAGGGAAGACAAACCCACATCCCCAGCCCAAGGCTGCCCACCCCAGCCAGCCAGAGGGCGGGGCCTACCTTTGCAATCTTCAGCACCTGGATGTCCTCTGCATCTGAGCCCTGGTCAAACTCCCCAGCCACCACCAGGTCGGAGGTCCTGGACAGAACGGGGGAGTTGATAGCCAGCAATGCAGAGTTCTGTGCCCCCACCACCTATGAGCTGGAAGCAGAGCTGTGCACCTCCCTCTCCCCTGACCCCACTGGACAGCGTCCCCCCACCCAGGGAGCTGGAAGCAGAGCTGCACCCCCACCAGGTCTTACTTGACACCGCAGTGGGCAGCAGTGACCACCCAGTTCTCGCTGATGAGGGAGCCTCCGCAGAAGTGGAAGCCGGTGCTGTCCTGGGGAGGCAGGCGAGTGAGTCAGTGACCCCTCCCTGGACAGCATGCCCAGGCCAGTCACCACCACAAGGTGCCCTCCACAGCCTCACCTGCAGGGACACCTGCCAGGGCCAGGAGCCGGGGACAGCGTCCTCGCCATTGACAATCCTGGACAGGCCACTCAGCACAGGGTGGATGGCGGGGACTCCACAGCCTGCAGAGGGGAGCGCAAGGACAGATCACTAGGTGGGCTGTCCACACCACAGGACCGCTGTCCACACCACAGGACCACTGCATAGCTCAGCTCCTCCTGCACAGGCCCACTTCATTCGGAAATTCAGGAACTGTTCATTGCACAAGATCTTCATTTCCCAGTTATTTAATAAAAAACTTTTATTCCATATCATAAAAGTACACTGGAGACTAAATATTGCCCTGTCAGAATCAACTCGTGACTGACCCTCCAGCAGGTTTTCAGAGGCAGTAAACGGCACGGAAACCTGCCTGCCTGCCCCCTGAGCAGCTGGAGGATTTGAACTGTGTCTTTGGATTGGCGCACAACTCCTTATCCGCTAGGCCACTTGGCATGTCCGCGATGTGTCTGCAGCAGGTCAGTCCAGACCACGTAACCGCTCAGAGCTTACATGGGGCTTTACAGTTTGGCCAATGAACAGGTCACTCATGGCCACTGTGGGTCTCACCTTTCCTGGAAGCTGTGAGGGCACCATTAGCACCTACACAATCCTCTTTTACAACAGAAAAAACAAGCAGAGCTAGTAGCGTCTGAGGAGGATGAGCTGGGTTCGCTTATTGACATAAATTGGAAGCTGACTGGAAGGACATGGTAAAACTATCTTGGAAGATATTATCTCCAGAAATGGCGCGGCTGGCTTAAGAATTTATATTATTTACCATCAAGCCAGAAGTGAATCAGACCCTCCAGCAGGTTTTCAGAGGCTGTAAGTCCCATGGAGCACCTGATGGGTTCGAACCATGTGCCTTTGGCCTGGCAGTGCAGCTCTTTACCACTAAGCCATCAGAGCTCCCTTACGAACTTATAAGCATGTACTAAATTTTTTTTTCTGAAACCCGCACAGGAGCGATGCCGGCTGGTTCAGAAGAGGCTTCGCC